GTTCTCAGCCCTGGGGAGGGTTCCTGCCTCCCCACCACTCTCCCTCTTGCAAGAGGGTCTAGTGGTTCCCACGACCCTCAGCCCCACCCCCTCCTCCTTGCCTTTGCCCTTCTCAGCCTCCGCCTTGGCGGGGTGATGGGTTAGGAACCAGGGGCTGGCCCACGCACCCAGCAATTAGTGTTTATCTCCCTCGTATATGCGGCTGAACAACAGTTCATTTTCAAACTTAATAGTCAACATTCAGAAAGATAAAACTGCCTGGGTCCCTCCTGGGAGGCAATTTGAGGATTTGGTGGGAAGACCTGGATAGGAGCTGGGCTCACATCTCTGCCTCCAAGACCCTGCCCCCTCTGGACGTGCGTCCTGGCCCCAGCTTTTACCCTTCTGATCTCCCTGCACAATCAGGAGCAAGATACCAATCTCCCCACCTTGCAGGCAGGAAATCTGAGGCTGAAGGAAGCCAAGGGACTCTGCCCCTCAATTTTCTCCTGCCTTGGATTTTGAGGACTCTGGCTTTCTATTTACCACCTGGCTTGGTAGGCTGACCTGTAGAGTCCCCTCAACCTTCAGGGGCTGCAGGACTCAACCTGACATGGCCACCAGGCCCCCTCCCTCAGCATGCCCGCCTGCAGGGAGAGTCCAAGGGTAGCAGCCCCCCACATGGATGAGACCCTTCCCATGCCCCACACTGCAGTCCCCATGCCAGGCTGGGCGGGGTGAGGTGGGGTGAGCAGCAAGCCTCTCATTCCTGCTCGGCTGGGGGACTGCCGGCCTGTAATCACACATTCCACAGCCTGGGGCAAGGTCTATTTAGCTAATGAAGAAGGAGTGGAGAAAGGGGCTCCCCTGGTGGGAGGGCTGTGGGGCCCCGGTCCTGACAGTGGCTTGGGGAGGGAGGTTGAGTGCCCATAAACTGCAGCGAAATGCTGCCACCTGCTGGCCATGTCTCAGACTACAGGGAGCTGTGGAGCTGGTTCCGGGGCTGGGAAAGTGGAAACTGGCCCCCTTCCCCCAACCCCCCCATGGTCCCGAAAAGGCTGGGGAAAACGAGCTTGGTCCCGGGTTGGGATGCTGTTGTTGCTGCTATTGTTGTTGTTAGTCCGACAACAATATTACTGTGCCTCAGTTACTGAGCACTTGCTGGGGCCAGGTGCTTTGCACATTGTTTTTGTGTCCCCAGCAATCCTCTAAGATGCTGTTTGCTTCTGACAGGCTGGGTAGCTAGCCGAGGTCACACAGCTGGTGAGTGCCACAGGCGGGATTCTAACTCAGGCAGTCTGGCTCCAAACTGTCGCCCAAAGTCTGAATTCCAAGTGTCAGCTCCCCACAGGAATGTCCCGGATTACCCGCCCCCCCCCAACTGCTTCTTAGCCTCCAAGGCCTGCCCACATGCCCACACCCTTCTAGAACAAAAAGGAATAACCCCTGACGTCATGGAGTCCATATTGCAGTGGGTCCTGGAGATCCAGGCCCAGAGCAGGACTCAGATGCTTCTGAGACCCCCAGGCCCCCTCACCCCCTGCCCTTGTGAGCAGGGGAGGCTTCTGCTTGGGGAGGGGTCCAATCCCTGACTGGCAGGGTGTGGAGCTGAGGAGGGGCAGCTGGGCTGGGTAAGGGGCGCCTCGGGGATTTGAGAATCCAATCCACCTGGCTCTCAACCCCGTCCTGGTCACGGAGCCCCAGCTGGGATGGGAGCTCAATTTTCCAGTCCCTCCCAACCACCCTTGCTGCTGTGATCCTTACCCCACAAACTATTACAGCTGGGAGAGGACCTCAGGAATGATCCAGTGAAAATACCACCAACTTCTGTTGATGGAGAAGGAATGATCCACTGAAAACACCACCAACTTCTGTTGATGGAGAAGGTCAGGCCCAGAAAGGGCAAGCGGCTGGCTCAGATCACACAGCCCAAAGTGACTGAGCCAGGAAGAGAACTCCCAACTACCTGGCTAGGGCTCCCTGCTGAGCCCTAGTTCTGCTTCCCTCCTCCCCCAGCCCAGCCCCCTGAGGGTCCTCCCCCATCTGCCAGCAGGCTGCCCACAGCATGCCTGGAATTGCCTAAAGCCCAGAGCTAGTGGGGACCAGACACAGGGGAGCATGGACCAGGCTTGGCTGGTGCTGAGAGGAACAAGAATGGAAACAGTCTTGCTTCTCTCCTTTCTCTCCCTTTCTGGGGAGAGATGGCTCCCTTCCCCTCGACTCCCATCCCGGAGCCTGCAACGGTCCGATGTTTTCACTCGCTGAGGAGGGAGGCATTTGCAAGAAATGGAAGAAAGGATTCTCCCAGTTGCTTTCGAATCACAGCTCCAGTGGTAATGGAACTGGCGGGGAATGATGGGGAGAGCATGGTGCTCAGGGGACATCTCCACCCAGGCCCCAGCCAGGGGCCCAGGGCCCCTGGACGCGGCTGTCCTCCTGTCCTCCCACCATGCCAGCCTCCATACTACCAGTAGTTCCTGGTGAGGCCCCGGCCCAGGACAGGCAGGGGTCCAGGGAATTCAGCTGGACTCGGTCCCTCCCCTTCTTCCCTCCTCTGGAGCCGCGGCTTTGGGAAGGGCCCCAAATGTGGGGGGGCCAAGGCCTTTCCCCGAGAACTGAGCATCCCTAGAGCCCAGGAGCGTGACCCTCCTCCGCATCACAGCCACGGGGATTGCAGGTCCTAAAGCAGGTCCGGGAAGCTGCAGGGCACCAAGTGCTGGCCTGGGGAGGTGCTCCAGAGAGCATTGCTCATGGAACCAGACCCGGAGCAGGGGCTGGGGAAACAGCAGCAGCCGATCCAGGGGACACTGTCCTCACAGCTCCCAAGGGAAAGCACGGAGGGGGGGGGGGAGCATGCTGGTTCCATGGGAGGCAGCCTCCTTCCTGATGGCGCTGCACTCGGCCCCCTCACCATCCTCTCGTCTCCTACCCGCTCCCCTCTGCCCTCTTCGTCTGGCTCATTTCTCCCTTTCCTTTTCTGATCCCAAGGACCCCCTACCTCTACCTCCAGAAGCCTGGCCACTGGCCCAGCAGGGTGGGGAGAGGGAGGAGGGAAGGGGGTTGCCCCTCCACGATGCGCCAGCAGCTAGCTCATTTAGGTACTTTTACTAGGTGGCAGGGGAGAGGGCTGCTCCCCTGGTGTGGTTTGGCCTCAGGTGAGGAGCAGAGCAAGGAAGGACAGTGAGAATGAAGGGGCCTGGGGGGGCGGTCCTGGCCACACCAAGGAAAGAGTGCGTTTTGCTTGCACCCTCTTTCCCTCTCTTCCAAGTCATGCTTCCTCCTGTCTTGCTTACCTCTTCCAGGAAACCTTCCCTGACTACCCCTCCAGGCTCCTCTCCTTCCTGCATGCCCAAGCCCAGGAGGGTGCTGCCCTCAGGAGCCTGGTGGTTCTTCTGCCAGGCCTTGGCTGTGGGGTCCCCCTGCCCAGGAAGCTCTCCCCACCACAGAGAAGCCCCTGACCAGTCTCCACTCCAGCCTATACACAGCCATTCCTGGGGTCCTGCTCCCTGCCGGGGATGGGGACAGGGACAGGGGATGGGGACAGGGGACCCAGGATGGGGACAGGGGACCCAGGATGGGGACAGGGATGGGGTGGGGGATGGGGACAGGGGACCGAGGATGGGGACAGGGGATGGGGGCGGTCTGAGCACTCACAGGCCTCAGGGTATTCAGCGTACCCCAGGGTGCCCTACTCCCCCCATCCTCCCTTCTGTTCACTGTTAGTGAGGCCCACCAAGAACAAAGGTCCAGTCTCCTGCACTGCACCCCAGGGGCTCTGATGGGGTGAGAGGGAGACTTGATGGAGCCATGTCTTCTGGAGGAAAGAGGAAAGATGACCCCACACTAATCAGTGGTGGGAAAGTGTCCTGAAGACCTGCAACCAGTCCCTCTGGGGACCCTCTAGACATGTTTGTTCAATACAAAAGAAGTCCATGATCAATGGTTTATTCCAGAGGGGAAAGCCCAAGCTGAATGCCCCCCTTCTCCCCCTGGCCAGCTGGCCCCCGCCTCCTTGCCCCCAGGGCCCTTGGGAGGGATGGTGAGAGGAGGAAGGGCCCCACCTTGCTGCTCTTACTTTGGTCCCTCTCCAGGCCCTGCGCCCCATGACAGCGTGTGACATGGAAGGTAGTCAGAGGGAGGAGGAAGATGGATGGGGGCAGTGGATGAGGGTGGGCGGCGGTGGGTAAGCTACCCTTAGAAATAACAGCAGCAGTTACCTGGAAATTGCAAGTGACCAGCCGAGACACACCGTCCCCGGCCTGCTCACTTGCTGTCGCCAGGGAGGACACAGAACAGCAGGACAACCAGGATTCCAGAGGAAAATGGCATGTCCCTTGGGCAGCTGGGCCAGGAACTATGTTCATGGATGGATTATATCATGTTGAGGGAATTGCTTATCTCAGCAGGTAGAAGAGGGACCTATCTTGGCTAAGACCATCCTTGCAGCCAGGAGAGCCCATCCCCAGGGACCTCGGGACTCCGCGCGGTTACGGTGACGCCCGGCAAGGTGGGGATGATGCTGAGACCCTGAGAGCTTCCCCTCCACGGCGGCCCAGGGCTGCAGGCTCGGCCTCCTGTTGGGGCCGGGCTGGTGGGAAGGAGAAGTTGGGCCCACGTGGATGAGAGACGGGCAACTATCCTGGCCAAGCACCTACTGACCACATCACGGGGAAGAAGCCTTGGAGAGAAACGGCCAACAGGCCTCATGACAGCAGGGGCATGGGTGGGAGAGGCAGGCTGCCACCACGTGGGCCCCAGCAACCCCACCCAAGAGGAGGGTGGTGGATTAGGGGAGAGAAGCCAACCTATCTCCCACCCCTGCGATGGCTGGTCTCTGAGCACAGGAGAGATGGTGACCATTAGAAGTCCCAAAGCTGGAGAGGGGCCTGGATGGGGCCTGGCTGACGGGGGGACGGAGGAGGGGGTCCCCCTTCCACGCAGATGAGCACAGTAGCGAGAGCAGCAGGATCAGCCGGGGAGGGCAGGGGTGCCAGGGCCTCGGTGTGCTGCCTGTCTGGAACTCACGGGGCCTCGTTGGACCCCATCCCATTGCCTTTGTTGACATAGAAGGGCCGGTAGTGAGACTGTCGGGGAGGGGAGGGAAACAAGAGTAGTTAGGGAGGGCAGATGGCAGCAGAGCCGACCAGCCAGACCCACCCTAGCCTCACGTCCCCCCGGGGAAGCAGCGGTCCTCTGAACCCATGGTTCTAGGGGCCTGTGGCCCAACCCGCAGGCTCTATCTACCCAATATTATCAGAGTCTCCGGGTTCATATCCCACTCAGAGTTCATTCCCGCCAGCCGGCTGATGAGCATGAACCTCAGCCCCTCATCCAACCTTCTCTCCATGGCCTAGGAGCCCCCCTCCCCGCCCCAGCACCACCAGCTCCCTTTCGCACAGCATTGTCACCTCTCCAGAACTGCGCTGTGCTGTTACGTGTGCCCTGTATGGAAGGACTCGTGGGGTTTTTACAGCCGCCCAATTAAGTGGGTTCCTATTACCATGTCCATTTTATAGATGAACAAATCAAGGCACAGAGAGGCTAAGAAACTTGCCCAAGGCCACCCAGCTGGTGAGTAGGGGAGCTGGGATTCAAGCCCCGGCAGTCCAGCTCCACAGCTCCCCCACGACCCCCACAACCCCACCCATGTCTCCAGATTGCTCCTTGAGTCTCAAGGGCATCAGGCATTTGCTTCTGGGCTCTCCGCATGATTCCTCTGACAGAGAGGGTGCAGAGAAGGCAAATAACTGCCCAGCCCAACACGGAGGTGGGGTCCCCAAGCCCAGCCCCTTCGCCTCTCTCATCCTGGCCCCTCATTCAGGAAGCGGTCTCAGCACAGAGCCGGCAACAACCTTCCCAGCTCTGCTCTGCTCCCAGTCAGCTCCCTGGTTCAGGGTCATAGCACGTCAGAGCTGGATGGGCTATAGAATCATCCAGGCCCCCGACTCCTGTTACAGTTGTGAGAACTGCAGCAGAGGAAGAAAGGCTCGCAGGAGGCCACACAGCAAGTGGGTACAATGGTGAGGGCCACACCCCAGGCATCCTGACTCCCAGGACAACCTCCCTCCCACGCGAGCACCTGCATCCATTCTTCCGGCGCTGCATGCTAGCCACAGACATGGGAACCCTGCCCTGCCAAGCAAGTGTCTCAAGACGGTAATGAGCTTTCTCTGCTGAGACCCAGGCCCTGGGAGGTGGAAGAGTGTGTGGTAGGGAGGGCAAGGACTGAGTCCAGGAGCAAAACACCTCTTTTTTTCCTCCCCATATCTGCTTTTTGCAGTCCTGCTCTTGCAACGCCCCTGGGCCCAGCTCCAAATTACACACGCAATCACTTAGCTCCCATCACCAGCAAATTAAAGATTCTCTCCAATTAAACCAGCCCCAGTTGCCGTGGCCTGGAGCAAATCACCTCCCCATGCTCTGACCTCCAAATGCAAAGATGGCAGGGAACTGGGGACCTTAGCCCCTGTCCCCGGCTGAGCCCCTGCTGCCACCCATATCCCCCGGCAGCTGTCTGTCTGCCTCGGCCCCAGGAGAGAAGCTTTCAGGGCAGTGGAGTCAGCCTGTGAAGGAAGGCCCTGCTCACTGAGGTCCTGGGTGGGGGTCAGGTCGGAGGGGCATCAGGGACCACCGTATCTCAGTACTGCATTACAAAACTGCAGAAACAGAGTCTCAGAGAGGGAATCTGACTCACCTAGGATCCCCTGAGCTGGCCAGACCCCAAGGCCACGCTCCCCTCTTGTGTGGTTCTTCAATTCCCAGTTCAGGGACATTAGCCATTGAGCCCCTAAATATCTCTATTCCTGACTTTACAGGCTCTGCCTCACCATGTTATCACCCCAACGTCCTCTGTGCTGTCAGAGCTGGGGAATGGCCCCAGGAAGGTGGGACCCATCATTAGGATGTCTGTCCCCTGGACTGAGCATTTCACACTCGCAGAGCTGATGGGGACAAAGTCCCCATTCAGCAAGTACAGACACCCAGCAACCATTTGCCAAATTAAAGAATCAGGGCTGCCCACTTTACAGATTAGAAAACTGAGGCCCAGAAAGGGCATGCTTACCCAGATGCACTGCCTGTTAGCCCTGGGTCTCTGCTACCTTTCACTGAATGCAGGAATTCAGGCCCTGCTGCCCCCTCCCTCTGTCCGATGGCCCGGGGAGGTCACATCCTCCCACCACCTCCCCTGGGTGATTGATGACCAGCTGCCCCCCGGGGAGCCCCGTTCAGTGCCCATTCGGGACATGCCTATGCCCAGACAGGCTGTCCTGGCAGCCCCTCACTCACCAGCAAAGTCTGCTTGCCAGATTTCCAAGTCTGGGGCTGGGCCTTGGGGCTCTGGCTCCTGATGAGGGAAGGATAGCCTGCAGAGACAGGAGGCACTGGTCGGAGGAAGGAGGGCTGGCTGCTGGGGCCTCCGGGGAACACAGCAGCATGGGTACCATCTCCAAAGTGACCACCAAGCTCCAACCAGCCCACTACCAAGGGCAGCGACCCCTGAAGAGATGTGCAGCAGCTGGGGGGTGGGCACCGGGGGAAATCCTGGGGAGGCTGGCCAAAGGGAGGAGGCACCCAGGCAAACAGAGGGCGGAGGAAAAGGCCAGGTGGGCTGGGCCAGGCGGCAGGGGAGTGTCGCCTCCAAATCCAGGTCCGGATCAGGATCACATTATTCCGCAAGGATGTCCCCCCATGAGCCCTGAAGGTTCAGACCGCGGACCCCGCCCCTTCCCATGAGCACAACTGGCCAGGGTCTCCACCGGGAGGCGCCCTTTCCAACGGACTATGCTGCACGGCCAGGGCTCCCCCTCCCCACCGTGCAGACCTTCGCACAGGTCTTCTCGTTAACCCTCACCCCGTTTCTGGGAGAAGTTTGCCCTGAGCTGCACCTCCAGGAAGCGGCAGTCAGGATGCGAACCCAGGTTTTGCTGGATGCTGAAGCCCATCCTCATGTTCCTCCTGCCCGGTTCCAGGGCCTCTCGCCTGCCCGTTCTAGGAGCAGGAGGCTGGGGCCAGGGACAGGCAGTCACTTGCCATGTGGCTCAGGTCCACGGTTAAGACCGCAAGCCCACGGGGCCCGGAGCACGTGGGTGCTATCTGGGCCTGGTCCTCCCACCTGCCCTGCTCCCCCTCAGCCCAGTGGGATCTGTAAGGAGCTCTGGGCCACAGAACTGTGGAAAGCACTCCTGGTCTCAGCCATGGGCCTGCAGGGACAGGCCTCGGGGCCTGGGAAGGAACAGACTATGACCCCGACAGGAGAAGCTCAAGAAATAAATAGGGTCTGTCCTTGGTTGGGGCAGCCCAGAGCCCCGTTCCGGCTACTGTAAGGGAGGATGAGCCAGCCAGGCTGACCCTTCCCACCGTTTGCATTTAGCAAGAGGGTGGAGACGGAGCAGAGAACCCGGGTCTCTCCCTGCATTGGGGGTGGGGGGGCAGCCTTGGAAAGAGGGTTTCATGGGTCCTGAGTGGGAGGTGGAGAGAGGAGGAATTCAGATCTCAATTCGCAGTTCCCAGAAAGAAAAACCCACGCCAGCCACGCAGGAGAGGTGAGGATGGGGATGGGGGCAGGGGGTGGTCCAGAAGACCAGCCTTGTGCAGCAGACAGAAGTCCAGTGGAAGGGTGAGCTAGGGATGGTGCTGGGGGTGGGGGGGGATGCATCCCTCTTCCAGCAACTCTGGGGAGGAGGACCAGGACACCCTAGAAGTGGCAGAGAGCCCCAGAGGATGTCCCATCTGCCCTGCTGTGGGAGAGAGAAGGGGAGGGAAGACAGGCAGGTACCAGGATTATTTTTAAACCGCCCACTGCCGTCCAGTGGTTTGGAAAACTCTGTGGTGGCCTGTCCCAAGGTGGTGAACTGATAGGGGGCTTTCCCAGTGCCTGCTGGGAGAGAGAGAGGGATTAACAGCACAGCCTGGTCCCAGAAGGGGCCAGCAGCAGTCACACCTCAACCTGGGGTGCTGAGATGCGGGAGCCTCCCTCCAGGACTGCTGGAGTAGGAACAGGTGGGGGCCAGCCTCATGGGCGGGGCTCGGTGTATTTGAGGAGGGGCTCTCCTAGGGCAAGGTCTTTGCGGGGCGGGGGGCGGGGGGGCGCTGCAAGCCGATGGGGAGATACTCTGGAGCGTGAAAGCTCCAAATCACACCGGAGGTGACCGTCTTCCCTGACCTGTAGCCTTTGATCTAGGCTTGACCAGAGAGCAGGGAGGGACTGCTGGGAGCCAGACAGGTCAAGGCATGTGCCAGAGTTTCCCAGGCCTGGCTTGGGGAGAGGACATCCCCCGGGGGTCTTGCAGGCTGGGTCCCTCCAGTCATATTCACCTTCTAAGGTGAGCAAGGTGAGCCGGTCCTTCCAAGAATCCCTGCCCTGGGGATAGGCTGGGATTCCAGCCTGGAAGGGACAACTGAATGATAAAGCCACCTTCGAAGGCCACTGCTTGGGGGCCTGCCTGCCCTGCCCTCTCTCTTCCCTCTCCCTGACCCCAGCCAGCCCGGTATCCTTGCATCCAGGCCAGATGGTCTCGGGCGTCAGAAGACAGACTGGCTAACACCACAGCCCACAGAGCTGCCCCTAGGGCCTTTCAGAAGAGACAGGAGGGGCCTGGCCAACTCAGCCTGGTCTGGGGAGCTGAGTCAGACTTGGGAGGCTTTAGAGATCTAGTCTAGTCCTGCCTTTCTGGAAAAGGGCCTGACAGGACTCTGGCTCTGCAGGATGTGGCAGGCTGCTACGTGGCCACAGTGTTCTAGAGTCAACGGAGGCCGGCCGGCACTGGCTGAACAAAGCTAAACTTTCTGCAGCAGGAGGACTCAGTTAGGCCTGATGGAAGCCCGCTGGGGATGTCAGGGGCAGGGGTGGGGTGTGGCGTCCCCACCTCCCTGACAATGCAGCTCATTGTTAGGGACCAGCATTCGCTGAAACAAGCCCTGGGCTCAGGCTCCCCTGACAGCTGAGACTCGGATGGAGGAGGCAGCTCCCTGGCTCTCAGGTCGGGGTCTGTCCCCTCCAGGGTGGGTGGCTGGTAAGGGAGGGAGCGGAGGCTAGAGCAGAGCTTGGAGAGGGACAGGAAAGGCAGGGCGGGGCGGGGAGAGCTCACCTTTCAGGGAGAAGGAGGAGCTGCCTTGGACTGCAGGCCCCTCATCAGAGTTCTGAATGGTGGAGGAGTATTCCCAGACCCTGGAGCTGTAGTTACCTGGGGGGCACAGCAAGGCGCATCAGACCCGCGCAGCCTGGCATGGGGGTGGCGGGCAGGGCGAGACCATTTCTGTGAATCTGCCCAGCCCCTCGGCACGCTTCCTGCCAATCCTTCCCACCATCAAAGTTGTCCTAAACCACCAAGTGTCGGCCAGTCCCTGACGCCCCTGAAGGCCCACGGTGCTCAGACTCAGGTACCTAGTCCTTAACCAGCACACAGCCGATTTCGGGGGCTGCTGCCTGCCTGCCCCCCTCACCACCACCTCCACTTCCTGGCTTCACCTCCCTCAGCAACCCTCCAACACCCCACCTTCCATCTGGGCTGCCTCTGAGCTCCCGCCAACACCCCAGGCTCTCTCTTGCCCTAGGCACGATGCAGATACTCCACCTGCTTCCCATCCTTAACAAATGTGCTGGGTCTTCTGGTGTCAGCTTCCCTGTCCTCTTCCCCCAGTCTGTGTGTGCCTCAGCCCCAGGCCTCACGTCACTCTGCTCCCCATTTGTCCCCCCGTGTTATAGTGGCAAGTTTAATTGGGGGCAGGGGACACACCTATCTGGCCCAGCATCACATCCAGCGCCTGGTGTGAAGCCTGGTCCCTAGGAGATTTCATTGTATGGTTGATGGGTGAATGAAAGAACAAATAAATAAATATAAACACATGCTAAAACTTGGGGACAGAGGCAGTTGGTACAAGTCCTGACACTCTGTTTGCCAAGTGGAAGAGGCTGACGAGGGTCCGCTTAGAAGGACGCCCCTGCAGTCTAGAGGAGAGAGGCAGTGGGGAGGGTGTGGAAGGAACAGCAGGAGCACCATGAGGGCACTCAAGTCTGGGGGCTTCAGAGCCCCCCACAGATGACGCACCTGCCCCGGGCCCGCCCTCTCAGCAGCCCAGAGCACTGGGACTGTCCCCAGTCAGCTCACTCCATGGCGGAGGGCCCAGTCCTGGTTGGTGGTCCTCTCCCACAGCCGCCTGCAGGAGGGCGGGGGCCTGACATTGGGGCTCAGGAGTCAGAGGCGGCTGGGGGTGTCTGCCCGCCCCACTGTGAACCCCTGCCACATCCCAGTGGGCCCATCCACCCAGAGCTCCAAGGGGCCAGAGGCCCACCCTTTCATTCACTCGTTTGTCCACCCCTCCTCTCTTTTGACTCATGTTCCCTGAGCCCCTCCTTCTGGGCCGTGGGATTGCAGTAGTGAGCCAGAGAAACCCAGCTTCTGCTCTCCTGGAGTGCACAGCCTATCGTGCATGTGGGAGTAACCATGGGCATCCAACCCTGACACAGAGGCCTGGCCATTGCCCTGTCTACAGGTGCCCCTGACCCTCCAGATCTCTCAGGGCCCGTGTCCTCACTGAAGAAGCCCCCCACTCCCCACCTGAGACCTCCCGGGGCCGTGTCTGGTGGAGCTGCCCCAGGCCCACCCTCCCTGCACATGTCTGGCAGGCACCCCAGAGCCTCCAAAACCCTGGGCTCTTCAAGCGCATGGCCCTACACTTGGCACAAGGGTGCCCTCGCCACACTGGGCAGAGGGGTGTCTATGCTCAGTAGCTCTCCCTGAGGAAGCCACGGCTCCACCCCTCAATCACCTTTTCTGGGTCTTAAGGACGTGTCCCTCACCTGGCATGGCAGCAATACGTCCTGGATCTCCAGGGACGGCCCTGCTTTGTGTCCTACCATCCATCCCGCTTGCAGAAACTCTAGTCTGTCTTAACCATCATGATTTCTCAACACAGACGTGCACCCATCAGCAAAGGGCCCAGGTCCTCTGCAGGTCCTTGGGTCACAACACTTGCTAAACATAACCCCCCCTTCCGGTTTCCCTGACTCACTGTTCAGGGAGAAGAAGATCCTATGGACTCAGGGATTTCCAGGCTGCCTCCCCACAGCCTAACTGATGATGTCACACACCATCACACACACAGACACACACGCACACACACTTTGAGCTCAGTAGGACTCCTCCCTGCCTGTCTCTGGGTCCCTAAGCCCATCCCACCTCTCCACATTCCCCTCACATTGGGGAGTCCAGCCCCCCGGCCCCTGGCCCACCCCCCACAGGCCCTGCCCCTCCTTGTGCTGAGCCACTCTCTCACCTTTGGTGCCATAGAGATTGTTGAAGTTCTTCTGGTTGGTCTCCTTGGAGAGGCGGCTGGGGGACCCCGGCTGGTAGGCTGTCCTGGCCCCACCTGTGAAGCAGATGAGCTGAGTCAGCTTCAAGGCAGGCCCGTGGCTTCTGACTTGAGGGGGTTATGGGGGACTCCTTGTCCCCAGACAGCTCCTACTGCCTGTCCCAGGACCCGGGGTTCCACCACTAAGACAGCTCCTCTGGGTCTAGATTAGGCAGCTGCTTAATTTTCCCTCCTGATCAGGACACTTAAGAGTGAAAGGAAGACTATTAGTAAGTAAGCAGGAGCACCTGGAGCCTCCTGCATAGACAGGGACGTATGGTCACCCTACTTGGGCGGCTTTGAGGATCACCAAGGCTGGAGAAGCCGACACCTCCCTCCTGAGCCAGTTTCTGTGTGACGGAGACCCCAGAGGCTGGGAGATGGGGTGCCTGTGACAAAGGAGGATCATGGCAGCTGTGGGGGGCACAGGTGTTGGGCCCTTGGCCAGGTGAGGGCTCGCCAGTGATGATGAACCAGTGGCCACAAACATCTCCCAGGTGCTCCCCCTCCAGGAACAAGACCTCACATTGCTCAGGAGCCTCCGAATTTGGGTTCTCAGAACAATCTTGAGAGGATGGCAGAGTGGGCTCCATACTCCCACTTTACAGATGAAGAAGGCATGCTCCCCACATGTGTCCGGGTCCTTCGATCAGCTCCTCCCCTCCCACCTAACGAACACCCCGCTCCCGGATCTGGCCTGCCTGGCCAAGCACCTGCTGGTCCTTCTGTAAGCCTCTGCACCTATGGGTCCTCTCACCTGGGTGGCCTCTGTCCATCACGGTCATGCCTCTTTACTGAGCACACTGCCCGTCTTTCAGGGACCTGGAAACCAGCCTCCACTGGGAAGTCTTACTGCCTGAGCTCACTGCCCCAGAGCCCCCAGACTCATGCCAGTGGCCCTTGGGTGGCCTTATCTCCCAATCCCCTTGCTGACTCTCCCTGGCCCTTCCCTTGCCTCTACCCTGAGCCTGGGAGCTCCCAGAGGGCAGATTTCCTCCTTCCTCCTGTTCTCAGTGCAAGGGCAGGGACACCGGATGAACCTGTTTCTTCCACCTACAAATATCACCTCCTGACTCAGTGACAAGCTGAAAGACTTCCTAGCATCTGAGCTGAATTTCTCTCCTCTCAGGACCAAGGTCCCCAGGTCCTGGCTCAAGGACAATATCTTGGCAGGTGTTCCTCCCTCTGTCCCCTGTTGCTGCTCTGTTCCTCTCCCCACAAACTGCAGTGGAACCCACACCCCCCTCGGTCCCCTACGGAGCTGGGGGAACCAAGCAGGGACCAGCTGAGGGGATCAATGCACATCGGGGTCCTCAGAAGGACCGACCAGGGCAAGGGACACTGGGGAGGCTGGTTAATGCCGCTCACCGGCTCAAGGATTGGGCTGCAAGGACAGCGCCCTGGGAAGGGAAGGGGCCAGGCTGGCTGGCCTGGCCCACGCCAAGAATGTGGGGCAGGGGGGACTCGGCTGCCCAGGTGCCTCGCCAGGCCTCTGCCAGGGCCCAGGTGTTGTTTTCAAATTGGGTGGAGCAACAGAGGTTCCTCCCGCTGAGCTCATCTCTAAATCCCCTACGCCCTTCCCATGGTGTGTGTGTGTGTGTGTGTGTCTGAGGTGTATGAATCAGCGCTCAGGCCTGGGCGCTCCCCTGTCCCCAGCCCCTTCCCCACATCTCCCTGCCTCCTTTCTCGCTTTTCCCCACACCCCACTCTTCTGAAGACCACTCCATCACGCGTGCACACACACCCCCTCTATCTGAGGGCTGACACACCTGGCTCACCCCCCCTCCCCCTTATGTAACGGTCATTGTTGTGGTTTGTTGCTGGTGCAAAAAGATGCAATAGGTTTCCCCAGGCCAAGGACAGGCAGGCTCCGGTCTATACTCCACCCAGGCTGGCACAGGCCGGGACCATCCAGGATCCAGAGAGGGAGGGCTAAGGGCCAGGCGGCATGCCGGGAGGGAGAGGTGAGGAAAGGTAGACCAGCTGGCTATCTCCCTGTCCTTGAGGAGCAGAACGGCCCTCCCCCAGGACTACAACAACGCAAGCAGGAGCAGAACACAGCTCAGGCCCGGCAGATGGTTGCTGGAGAAAATAGCAGCCAGAAGACCCTCTGGAAGGAAAGGGAAGGATGTGTTCAGACTGGAGGCAGGGACTGGAGGGGAGGGAAGCCAGGAGGGGCAGGTGCCGGTAATTTATCTCTAACCTGGATGCTTCTGAGGGAGGAAGAGGGGACTGTTTTTGCTTCCACCAGGACAGCAGGTATGCGCCCGGACTTCCGCGGGCAAACCCAGTGACGGTCACTCTGGCAGGGCAGAACCCGGCTGAGTCTCCGGGCCCATGGCCCTGAGGGGCAGGCTGCTCTCTCTTACCCTTGGGTGTGAGGTACATGGAGTATCTCTTCATGGTATCAGGTGTGCCCCACTCGCTTGAGTAGCTGTTAGTGTAGGTGCTCATATAGCGGTGGTCAGCCCCTGGGAGAGACAGAGACCGGTCATCAGAGGGGCAGGTGGGGAGAAGCGGGCCCTTGGGGGCACCCTGGGCTCTGCTGAGTCAGCCCACAGCCCCTCCGTCCCAGGCAGAGGCGAGGTTCTCCAAACTCAGAGAAGACCACACCCTGCCCAGCATCCCCTCTGCTCCTGAGCTGCTAGGACGTGAGAGAGGGTCTGCAGGGATCCATCTACTTCCTTGGGCTGACCCCCATGAGTAAGACCGTAGGCACAGCACCTCGCAGTTTACAAGGTGCCACCGACATCCATCTCTTATTTGTTGGAGATCCTCACGCGTCAGACCAGGAAACTGAGGCTCAGGAGGTAAGTGAAGTTATTTGCCCAATGTCACATGGCCAATAAGGGCAGAGTTGGGGTGTGAGCCCTCATCCCTACATCCTCACTTTGTCCCATCCACTGTCAGCAGCCCACGGGGATGGAATGAGTTCCGAGCGTCGGCCTCTGTGGCCAGGGATCCAGCCAGCTGAGCAGAGGCGCGCAGAGGGGAGTGAGCTGTGTGGAGGGGCCCTGACTCTCCCCACTCCACTCCCCAGCCACCAGTATACCCTCAAACCCAGACAAATCGGTGGTGCCACGCTTGCCTTCCCCCAGCTGCCCCGCACCCCATTCCTTCCCCATCTTCCACATTCCCTCTGCCCCTCCCTCTCCCCCGGGCAAGAGAAGGAATGAGTGGCTCGGGCCCTCATCCTTCATCTCCACCACCTGCACCTAGCAGGGGTCTGACACACAGGAGGGCACTCCACGACAAACACGTGTCCTCCCAGGTGTTGGCCTGGCCCTTCCCACAGTGCTCCCCACCCCTGCCTGCCCCACAAGCTCAGGATGATGGTGGTCAGTCCCTGGGCCTTTGGGGTTAGGACTGAGTCCCTGGTCTGATGGGTAGGCTGGCATCCAGGAGGAGAGGAGGTCTGACTCTCTGGCCTCCCATCCCCCCCACCCCGCCCTATAGCCAGACACACTCCCAAGAGACCAACATGGAGGCCCCGGGGCCCCAGGCCCAGGTGCAAGGCCACTGACATGATCAGCACCCACCCTACTCCTCGCAGTGCCTCCCTGCACACTTTGCACAGGGCCCAGGGCCACAGCTGCTCAGAGGCCATGGTCAACACAGTTATGACCTAGAAATGGCACAGCGCATGAGCAGCAGGCAGAGGTCCCCGCAAGGCTCACAGGCCACCCTGGCCCAGTCAGGGCCACCCTCCTCCGTCTGGGCAGACCTCAGCGGAGGGGCTCCACCCCTGGGTTTGTACCCCAAGGACCGTGATCCTCACACTCCCCAGCCGCTCCGCTCGGCCACCAGCCACAGCAACTTCCCGGATGGGAAGACACGGGAGGCCGAGGAGCAGAGTGTGAATCCTAACTACATCCCCTGCTCAGCTGCGTGCCCTTTGAAAAGCTACTTCTCTGAGCCTCAGGCTTCTCATCTGTGAAATGCGGTGCATCCTGCAGGGAACGTGAGCCACGGTAAGTGAAGCGCTCACACAGAGCCGGCGCACCGGGAGTCCTCGGTCACTGTCGGCCACCACGGCTAATGCCATCGTAATTGTCATCAGAAGGAGGATTTCCGGATCCGAAAGCCACTGGAAGCCTAACGATTGTCTTGCTGCAGTGCCTCAGGGATCCTCAGGTGTGACTGAATGTCCCTCACATTTCACAGGGACACTGTGTGATGTCACCATCACCAGGATATATGGATGCCCCCCTAAGCCCCGGCCCATCGGCACACTATTATCCCCGTGTCATCCCCAAAGAATCACACGCTCCGCCTGGAGACAAAACACAGGGACCGCTTCCTTTTGGGTGTTTGGGGCCAGAAGTGTCCTTAAAGCCCTGTGCTGGGCCTCGGCCACCGGGTGGGGCCTTGGGGGAAAGTGCTCCAGCTTCAGGCCCTGAAGGGACTGCGCTGGGCTGCTGAGAAAAGACTTAATGGATTAGTTTCTCAGATGAAGAGGCTTTCGGTGAGGTGATTCACCTGGCCTCAGTGGGGGACGGGACAGCGTGACTCAGAAGAGAAACTGTCTTCAGGGGAGCGGGTGAATCACTGAGACACATGTGTCCCATTGTCCCCAGCCCAGCCCGTGAGGCCAGGTCCAGCCTCCGGGTTCAACACCACTCAGTGCGGCCATGGTGACAGGTCAGGTCTCCTTCCCAGCGTGATGCAGTTCTAGGTCACGTCTACTGGAGTCTGCAAAGTCACCAGGTTAGCACCTGGCCCTTACAAGTGGCAGCATCCACACAGGTGCTGGGCTGGGCCCCATAATCAGATGTAGCTCTGAACGAAATCAGTCCCTGGGTTTGATGGATGACCCACAGAGAGGAGACATCTGTGCAGCTAATGCCCAGATGCTTGCTGCCCTTGGGGGCCCTCGTAACACCACATAACCTTGGCAGCCGGTTCAGTGGAGGGTTACAATCCCTGAATCCTAGTCCCAACACCTTGCGTAGGACGGGCGGTTTGGGACAATGAGAGGCCGGCTGGCTAGATGCCAGCCCAGGCAGCAGGGATCGGCCTGGGAGGAAAGTGCCTACGGCCGTGGGGCAGGCCCACAGAGGACACCTACCGTTCTCCATGTGGTTCCTCTCGATGAAGTTACGGCTCAGTTCCGCCTTGCACATCTTCTCAACATGGCGCATGCACACATTGAGCAGGTCATCCTTGAAGTTGCCAAGTGACTGTCCCAGGCCCTCCCCCTCCAGCAGAACATGGTAGGTAGGCAGGGGTGGGGGGAGGGAGTAATTGCTCATCAATGCACCAAATTCCTACCAAGGAAGGAAAGAAGCCATTAACTTTCTAGGTCTTTAGTAGCTACGGGGACACTTCTCTGCAGGGAGCTCTCAGTCCAGCTGGAAGGCTCAACGCTGGGAGCCTTGTGGGTTCTAGACACAGCTCGGCTATGAAGTAGCTCCACTTGTCCTCACCTCATACCTTTCTCCTTCTGTAAAATGAAAGGGTTTGACCAAACTCCACTAGATGCTAACATCCCTGATGGTGCTAGTAGTCAGATATATGACTCCACGGTTCCCACCTCTTCAACCAGACATGTCATCCTACCTCACAGGGGTTTCTGAGAGCAACACAAGCTGTGACATCTTTGGGAGTGAAAGCACTGAGGAGATGCAAGGTATTTCTAGAATGTTCTGGGTCAGTCATGGTGCTACCGCCACCTTTACAAACTACCCTCTAAGCCTGCCTCTGCACTTTGTGCTTCTCGCCTCCCTTCTCCCCTCGCCGGAGAGTCCCTCCTCTTTCTGAAACCTTTATGCGCCTTTAAGACCTAGTTCAAATTCCACCTTCTCCACAAAGCTGTGTTACATTACTCCAGCATGCTTGCCCTTCCCAGAGCTTCCATGGGCACTTATCTCCTGAACCACACGCTTTATCATTTAATTACATACTCTTCTATATTGCTCTCTAATTGTACAGGTCTTATCTTCGCAGCTGGATTGCAGCTCCTTGGGGGCAAAAACCATGTCTTATACTTCTCTATTCTACACAGCACCTACCAGAGTCCTGGGCATGCAGTGGTACCCGAAACACTCTAGCAGTTGGAAGGATGAGTGGATGAATAGACAGACAGATAAGGTCAAGGATAACACATAGGCAGCACTTCTATGCCACGCCCCATACCCAAAGCAGACCTCACTAATCAACCCCACAACTCTTTCCTACTGAGCCTGGAGCACCGTTAGTACATATCAACTGAAGTTGGTACAAGGTGATATTTGCGTGCCATCTTTGGGGTAGGTAGGGAAATGGCTCAGATGGAAAAATTAAGTGGGCAGATGGAATGGAGCTTGGAAGGAAGGATGGATGGATGGATGGATGAAGGTTCTGGGAATGTGGATGTAAGGATTGAGGGATCGAATGGTAGAGGAGTTGCTTTGTACCTGCAGAAACAGCACCGAGTCACTGATGCTTTGCATCTGCTCCCTCGTCTGCTTGTCCTCATGCAGCACCTTGGCCCTCTCGTCCAGAGCATCCACGATCACCTTTATTTGGTCCACGGCATCCTGCTCCCGCTGTTCCAGTGTAGCCCTCACTTCCTCCTTTTGCTTCTCCAGGTCCCGCACCAGATCCTGGAAGTTTTGCTCCAGGAGAGACTTCTCACTGGTGGTGAAGCTCTGGGTCCAGAGTGAGAGGAGAGAGGAAGGAGGGTTTCGGGAATTTTAAAAACCTCCCGAGTGGGGTGTATCTTTAGGTTCCCAACCCAGAGTCAGAACCAGGACATTTCTACTGCCCCAACCCAGCAAGCCCGTTTGGCTAAGGATCTCATTCAAAGGCATCTTTGAATGTCAATAGAGATGGCCAGGTTCATTCACAGCCCACTCTTCTTTATCTATCTGTGACTCCTCCCCTGGGTGGGTTGACTTGAGCCATCATTCCAACCTTGGGCAACTCCATGGACCCAGAAGATACCCCATGAGTCAGGTGGCGCTCAATGAAACCTCAACTAGAACCAAACATCGTTCAGAAAGTGAATTGACAGGCTGTTTATGTAGCCAGGGTCAAGAGTCAGTGATTTCAGATAGTGGTTTGCAATTACTCAAACCATGGCAGACATGTATCCATCCAGCCATACTAGCACCAGTAAAAGGACAAGGTCATGCATTTGGTGGCTGGGTGGTCTGGTGCACGGAGTAGACACTGGAGGACACACCGGAGGACAGGTTGATCTAGGTTCTTTATTTGCTGGGATGGTGTCAACTGAGCATTAGCTGACAGACGAGATTCCACCTGAATGCCTGGCCCGGACTTAAAAAGGGAATTGGTGGGGATGCCAGGGGGGTGGGAGAACCCAGAAGAAAGAAGTGTGGAGTATAAATGGGGGCCTGAGGCCTGGAACAGGAGGCAACGCCTGCCCCCTCCCAGGTAGGACAGGCGGGGTGAGCATACAGCAAGACCATGGCCCCAGGGGCAGCTCACCTTGATGCGGTCCTTCTCCTTCTGCCACTTCTCAGCTTCATCCTCAATCTCGATGATCTTGAGCTGCAACTGTTCTTTTTGCAGGGACAGCTCTGTCTGCAGAGAAGGAGCCAGGGTTAGAGAAGTCCGGCGGGGGTAGGGAGGTGCAGGAGCATCAGAGAATCAGGGAGTGGGCCCAGCCAGGGAGCCAACTTGGGCAGGGCTCACCACTCAGCCCTTCAGCCTGTATTCTGCAAACAGTCACTGGGACCTCGGATATGCCAGGCCCCAAGCCTGTCACCAGGGATCTGGCAATAAGTCAAACTGTTGGATGTATGTCGCTATAAACTCGGGCCTCAGGGGCTAGGCGTCCCAGCCATGTCTTTATAAGGAGTAAACCTCTGCCACGTCCCCCCACCCAAAGTGAGCAGGAAGGTTAGTTCATTTATGGGGTTCCCACTCCTTTCAATGGACCTGAGGCCACCAGGGAGGGAAGGAAGCTTCTACCTCTTTCAAGCTTCAGGGAGAAAGGGGACCCAGCCCAGCCCAGTCCAGCCCAGGGAGTGTCCCATGGCAGGAACAGTGTGCAGCATTTCTCTGCCATGACGTGGGACCTGTGTTGCAAGCAGGAGCCCAGGCTGCAACCAGCAGGGATTCCGTCTGGACAGGCACAGCTGTAAACCTGTTTATGGGAAAGGCCGTGCAGTCCGCAGTTTGGGCAAGACAGGGACTTCTTTTCGGGGTCGGTGAGGTGGGGGAGGCAGTAAAGGGAGGAGGAGAGAAGACAAACAGACTCCAGGGATTCCCCACTCAGGGGAGGACGCAGCCTGCTGGGGTCTGGGGGTGGGGTTGGGAAGAGGACCGACGAGGTGCCTTGGGATGTGAGCTCTAATGGATACGGAAAGTACGGATAATATTTTCCTTCCATTGGGTTAATGCCTTCTCTGGAAAGCAGCTACAACAGAGACAGAAGGGGAGGCATGAAGCTAAGGCCAAGCTGATTCAGCCAGGCCAAGAGGCACCTCTTTGTTCTGCTGGGACCCCTGCCAGTGATCTCAAAACATCTTCCAGCTTAGAAAGACTGGTGGGTGATCTCCACCCGCAGGCAGGAAGACTAAGGCATCCAAGAACGCCTTAGGGTGCTCACAGTCTCCCCACTACCTTTTGAGCAGAGTTCCACGCCTTTCTCCAGCTATCTCTTTGAGGAACCCACAAGAAAAGTCAAGATGAGGAAGCCACAAGCCACTAGGAATGTGAGCTCTGTTGGCAAGGAGTCCTGAGCGGGGTACAGATATGTCGCACCTCTGGAGGGCTCCACCAGGCCGACGGGGTGCTGACTAGGGTCCCTCCACAGACACCCAGGGAAGTGGATTGGGAGTGGAGAGAGCTTCCCTGGCTTTCTTGGAAAGGCTGCCCAGAGGGTCAGGGAGCAGGTGGAGAAGATGGGGAAGGCCCGGACGAAGAGCTGTGGAGGTCCCGGACAGAAAACCCCTGATCCCACCCCACAACCCCTCTCTGCCCACACTCCTGGGCTCTCCAGGCAAGGAGACTCCAGGTTCTCAGGTAGCATCTGCCCCACCAGCAATGGGCAGCAAATCCCGCACCATGGAAAATGCTATCACCAGAGATGGACAATGATTGTCAGGAGGAAAGGAGTGAAAGGAGATGAGGGTGGGATTTGGCCTAGTTTCTGGAACAAAGCTGGGGAGAAGCCAGGAGCCAACAGACACAGTGCCGGGAAGGTGGAGAGCAGAGGACAGAGAGCAGATCCAGTGGCCTGGAAGGATCTGAGCCATAAAGAAGAGACAAACGACTGGACAATGGGTCTGTGCCAGGCACCTTGCCCATCCCAGGAGAGCTCCCAGCAAGGCCCCAGGTGAAGGGGAGAGCCGGAAGCCACCCCACTGCAGCTGACACCTCCTGACCCGGCTAGAGAGGGGGCATTGGTCCCTGGGTCTCTCAGCCCTACCTCAGCACCCCCAGAACAAGGTCTGATGGATGGGAAAGCAGAGAACGAAAGTTCATTCACTCCCATGCCCCAGGGCCTGTGGCTGAGGGTGGGGGAGGGCAGCCCTCCCATGAATGAGCACGGGTGAGCCAGGAAGGACCCCACCCAGAGCTGGGACTGGGAGTCCAAACATTTGAATCCAGTTACCACCACTTCTAAGCAGGTGGCCTCTGCAAGTGACTTAAGTTCTCTGTGCCTCAGTGGCTCTATCTTTTGTGGACATAGTGAGAGGTCTGCCCCCAGAGGCCATGGATGAGCTGGGAGTTGGGAGGTGAAGCTCTCAGAAAGTGCCCGGCACAGAGAGAGCCCCGGCCAGAGGTCCAGCGTCACGCTGTGCGGGGCACGGTCCCTGGGCTAGGAGCCGTGCCGGGTGCTCTCCCTCCTGCTGGGCTTGGAAGAGAGGGTGCAGGCCAGTGGGGCACAAGTGAGCGGGCGGGGGGGTGGGGTGGGCAGGTGTGATCAGGGGAGGCCTCGGTGGTGTTCAGCAGTGAGGACGGCAGGTGCCGCTGTATTGGGTCCGGGGATAGTGTGTAAGCTGTCGGGGTACAGGGAGAAGTGTGGGCCCAGAGGCCTGCATCGTGGAGAACTGACACTTGGAGGACAATGGGGAGAACAGAGCAGAGGGAGGGGACGGGAATGAGGGTAGGCTGACCTTGCCCGTGGGAAACGGTATGACCAGAGAAGGTTAAGGCCAGAGGACTCATGTGGGGTGAGCAGAGGTGCCGGGGCTACCTGCCAGGAGCCATGGGAGCATGAGGCTGGGTCGGGGCCTGCAGGTGAGAAGTCTCACCCGACAAGCGCGGATTCACTGGCCCAAGAGCAAGTGCAAAGGAAGGGGGTTAGAACAATGAAGAGCCCAGGCCAAGGGCAGAGGGAGTCAGACACTGGGGGTCCATCCTGCAGAAGAAAAGGAAGGAAGCAGGCAGCAGGGCCGGCTGAGGTGTGACGAGGAGGGCCAGAGGTGTTGGCCAGTGACCCAGGAGGGAAGGGCGGGAGCAGCCGATCTGGAAGCATGCAAGGGCAGGGTCGAAAGCGGAGACACACTGTCTGGAGCAGTGGGCGGAAGACTCAGTCAGGGGGGAGGAGAGACTCGGCTCCGTATTTCTTTGGGGCACGGGGGAAGTCGGACCCAGGCTGGGAGGGGGCCTTGCAAGACCAGACTTGCAGGACACAGTGGGCCCGGGGAAGGGGCCTTGGACTGGGAGCTCCGTGCGGCTACAAGGGTCCCTTCTTGCCTCTGGGATGAGGGCTCCCCTCTGCGGAGGAGGCTTTGGGGTGAGACCCCTGGGGGTGTATGCAGCATCTGTGTGGCTCTTGGCAACTTTTCCCTGCTAACAGGGCTGCCTGAAGCTGGAAAAGGCAGATGTGGGAAAGAATATAACATAGGAAGGCTCCAAGATAGTGGGTTCCCCCACAAAACTAGGAGAAGGAAGGACACTAATTGTATTATTGAGCACCAGCCTTTTTCTTCTTTCATCTGCAAGTGGTGTTACCCCATTTTACAGATGCAGAAACTAAGGCCTGAAAAGATTAGGAACTTTGCCCAAGTTTTCAGAGCTAGAAAGCCATTAAGGCCAAAATGTAACAATAGGAATCAGATCTCATTATGTGCCCTCTTAGCCTCTAGACTCTTCTCTGAATCTTCCAGACATTGTCCTCCCCTTCACGCCTGCTAACTTAAGCCTGCCTAGACTCCCCCAACCCACAGATGGTACAGTTTGGCCATCCTGCCTCTTTCCTCGTCAACCCTTTTTCCTCCCCGCACCCTCCTTCTCGCCCCCTGAGGCCCCAGCTCTCTCTCTCCCTCTCCCTCCTCCCTTGGCATCTGACGAAAGCCCCTGATATCTGATGGGACCTCAGCTCCCCCACCCCTCCATCCCCATCTACACCTCCCTCCTCAATTCCTCCCACTCCCGGTTCCTTCCCTCCACCCTGCCCAGGCCCATCCCTAAATGCCTCCTTTGTTCCTTTCTCCCACACTCGTCCAGTTGCCTCTCGTTCTGTTGCCTGGGATGGGCACGGAGGAGGCCACCCTGCCCGCAAATCCCTCTGGCCTTGGGGGAGCAGAGGTTTCCCTGAGAGCAGAGTGATGGCACAGCAGCGGGGGGTGCCCCAATCCAATGGGCCTTCCGCTGCAGACACCCCTGAGCACTCACTTGGACAGGTGTTACCTGCATGGCCCCCAGGGAAGGGGGGATGAGGCTGTGATCCTCCTCAGGCTTGATTTAACCACATGGGCCGTTGGCTCTGATATTTGCCAAATGAGCCAGTTAATTGCCAAATTTGTATTCTCAGGCAAACGGTAATTATCTGGATAAGAATCTGAAATGCTGGGTAGATTTCCCCATTTCCACCCAGATGTCAAATAGCCCAGTACTAGTCTGCGTGATGGGGGCTCCCAGTCCCTTCTGCTTCCTTGGGTGTCGGGACAGGGACCGCGCAAGACGGGGTAGACAGAGTAGCACCCAGCTGTCTCCAGACTGGCAGTGGGCCCTTGAGAAAGTCACCCCACATTTACCACGCCTCGATTTCCTCCTGGTGATGTTGGACAAGATACCTGATTCCCAACCTGGCTACACATCAGCATCACCAAGGGAGACTTAAAAATACAGATCCCAGGCCCCAACCCCCTGAATGAGAACCTCCTGGAGAAGGGCCCAGGCAGCTGAGTCTTGATTCTCCAGGTGATTCCAATCTGAGGATGCGCTCCCCCCCGTCGCGCCCCCACGCTCCCCAGGATAGCCTGCCATCCTGTGAAAACAAAGTGTAAAATGGTAGAGAGGAAACTGCCATCAGAAAAGTCTGAATCCTGGCTCTGCCACTCCATGCTGGGACTCTGGAGAAGTCTCTTGGCATCTTTGGGCCTATGTCTTCATCTCTAAAATAGATGCGGTAGCCCACACCCTGTGGTGATGTTGTCAGGAGTGACAGGTAAACAGCCGGTGCTCCATAAAAACCGGAATGTCTCCTCCCCTGCCTCCTGTCTCTAAAGAGGTTCCAAGATAAACTGCTTCCCCTCAGCATCCATGGAGGTCACCCCTCTCTGTTCTCGCCCACCCTGTCCCAGAGCAGGAGCTCCCCCACCAGCCCCTAACAGGATCCTTCCTGATACGATGCAGCAGGAGGGACTTGGGATAGACAGAAGGATGGGCCATGAGACACAGAAAAGGATGGGGGCGCCTGGGTGGCTCAGTTGTTAAGCGTCTGCCTTCGGCTCAGGTCATGATCCCAGGGTCCTGGGATCGAGCCCCGCATCGGGCTCCCTGCTCAGTGGGAGGCCTGCTTCTCCCTCTCCCGCTCCCCCTGCTTGTGTTCCCTCTCTCATTGTGTCTCTCTCTGTCAAATAAATAAATAAAATATTAAAAAAAAAAAAGAGACACAGAAAAGGATGGATAGGTACACTGTAATCTCATCAGCCTAATCCAGCCTGGGGAATGTCCAGAGGCAGAGGAGTGGACATCTGTAGGATCCCTTCTAACATTTGGAGTGGAATCGGAACATTCTGATCTTGGATCCACCAGAGAAGGATGGGCATGTTTTCACATCAAGTGGCCTTTGCTCCAATAGGGCCCCCGCTCAGAGGCTACAGGCAGAGTCGAAACCCAGGAGATGAGCACCCACGGTCCGGCTGTCACCTGCAGCCTCGTGCAACCATTCAAGATCGGTCTCAGATGACCTCACCCGGGCCTTCACCAGCTGGCCTGCTGAACAGGTTCTGGACAGGGCTCCTTGCAAAAAACTGTGTGTGGGCTGATGTTTGGGTCTACAGGGGATGCCTCCAAAGGAAGCCAGGATTGACATGCTTATTCATTTCAATCAGTCAACCCACTAACCCTGCTCGGTACCAATGTCCCCCACGTCTGACATTCCAGCAGAGCCAAGCCTAGACAAACAGCTGTGCTCCAGCCCAGTCTCCTGGCCACCCTGCACCCCTCCTTGACCACCCCTATGCCTCTGGGGTGTGCGTGCAGACAGACAGACACACACACACATGCACGTGCGCACGCGCACACACATGCTGTCTGAAGCTCCCGCTGTTTAAGTCACTCCAATTGATCAGACATTTTCCCCTGAAACCCCTGTAGAGCCCACATATCCTGAATCCCATCTCCTCAATGCCCTTCCCCTCAGTTGCTCTCAAATATTGGAAGAGAATTAGGGAACTTCTTCCTTACCCTCTACTAGCTTGGACAGGTCCCTCCCTCTCCCGGGGCCTGTGTCTGCAAGGTGAAGGAGGAGACGGAGGAGATTGCTAGGACTCCAGCCAGCCTCCATCCTGCCCGCTATGGTTTGATGTTGATCTACAGTTGCTTCTGTGTAACTGGGTGGATGCTCCCCGGGCTTGTTTGTGCGTCTGAGCTTTGCCTCCTGACCTACATTGTGAGCCCTCGAGGGCGAGGGCTCTGTCTCTGAGTCCTACAGTGGCTCCGAACACCTGAAGGTGAACTCCAAGTTCCCAGCGCCTCCACAGAGGGCTGCCCAAGACCCTTCAGCCCTCCAGGGGTACTCGGGTATTCTTTAGGTGACACTCTGGTTTCAGATGCAATTTGCGTGCAAACCCGACATATAAAACAGATAAATAAGCGTGTATATTGCTTGAAGTGGAAGTGGGCACCTGAGGCCACCGCCTTCTTGGCACCAATTTGCCCCCCTCCTCATCCCTGACATTTCCAAGAATCCTGGGACTCCGTGGGGGAATTTGAAGACCACCAATCTAGTCCAACACCTTGGGTTCACACACATAGGGAAACCAGGACTGAGAGAATGCAAGGGACTTGTCTGTGGTCCGATGGCTAACTAGAGGCAAAAACCAGGGCTGGAACTTGGTTGGCTCTCCCAGAACCTAGTCTGAGGCTCTGCAGTTTTTTGGGTTGCACCAGATGAAGATGATTGCCCCCTTGGTTCTGTTGTGGTTTCCCAAGGAACCTCCTGAAGGATGGGTTCCACCGCCCTGCCCCGTCACTGTCTCCCAGCCCGAGGCTTGAGGCCAGACTGGGGTGGGGTCACCGGGGAATTGGGAACACCTTCCTGGGCCAAACAAGGCTCCTGAAGAGGATCTTTGCGTCTTTTCCCATTTGTAACCCGTCTCTCTCTGCCCACGGGTGTGGGTGAGGGGCACAGAAAAAGGATCAGCTAACTCTTGGCCAGGAAGCCTGGGCGGGGAGGGGTCCCGGGCTGCCCCAATCGGAGGCGTAGAGAGAAGCTGTTGAGGAAGGCCACGTCCCCCGCATTGAGCACCAGGAGGTTCACCCCAGTGGGGGGCTGCCCAGTATCTGTGGGGCAAGGGGCAGCAACCCCAGCTGAGCCTTTGGCCCAGAACGCCTTCTCTCCGTGTGCAGCCCTTTCACAAGCCTCCACAAGCTTCTGCTCCTCCCCAGGGAGGTCCGGGCACCGTCACACGGACAGCCATCATGCAGATGCACTTGCCTGTCCCATATACAAACACAGGCACCAAACACCCGCTGCATATACAATACAGACACATATATGTACGTCCCACCCACCCACAAACTGCAGCCCTCCCCGAGCAGCGTCCCCTGACAGGCACGTGCACCTGCAACCACACACATTGAGCGCCAGGAGGTTCACCCCAGTGGGGGGCTGCCCAGTATCTGGAAAAAAAGCATTTAAGTGGACCCCAAATTCCCTCCTCCTCACCCACGACCCCTGCCCCAGCGCTCAGTCCTGCTCAGGTGGTAAGAATTCTCTCTCCCTAAAATAAAAAATAAAAAAGAAGAAACACTGCAGCCAGGCACAGAGCCCAGGCTTGAGCCCGGATGGATTCTCTGATCCGATTTGAACTTATCCTGTGACCTTGATCAAGCCCCCAGTCATTCCTGAGCCTCCATTTGCTCATGTAGGCAATGCCCCTGTCTCCTGAGGCCTTAGAGGATTAGGGAAACCCCCTCTGGCCCCCAGCGTGCAGGTGCAGAGGGGCGACAAATGGATTCGGAAAGAGCCAGGGACAGCAGAGACTCAAGGCCCCAAGCCCAGGAGCACCCAGGGGAGCAGATGCCCCTGCGAGTTACCTCCTTCTCGGCCTTGGCCTCTTCGACGGTCACCGTGCTGTGATTCTTGTGCTCTTGGAACATGCAGAGGTAGCAGATGCAGGTCTGGTCCGTCTGGCAGAAGAGCTCCATGGTCTTGCCGTGCAGGGGGCACTTGCGGGCCTCGAAGTCCCGGATGGGCTCGAGCAGCTTGTGGTCGCGGAAGGCGGCGCCCTCCAGGTGGGGCTTGAGGTGCGGCTCACAGAAGGAGGCCTGGCACACCAGGCAGGACTTGACGGCCTTCTGCTTATTGCCAATGCAGGAGTCACACAGGACCTCCTCGGAGCCCGACTTGGAGCGCAGGAGGCCGCCGTTGGCCCGGGGGTAGCTGTTCCGCCGGGCCTCCCCGGGCTCCACGATGGACACCATGGGCTTTCGGGGCTCCGAGAAGATGGACTTGCGCAGCTCCCCCTTCTCGGCGAAGGAGAGGGGCGGCTTCCTGCTGGCCCCCAGCTGGAGCCCGGCGTAGGGGGACCTCTTGCCGTCCCCAGAGTCCATGCTGAAGTAGCTGGAGCCCTTGTCGTCCACGGACTCGACAAACTGGATGATGGGCCGCCGCCACTCGTTCCCCGAGAACAGGGAGCTCTTGCCCTCCCCTGTCTTCAGGGCACCGCCCAGGCTCTTGCCCTCGGCCGCCTCCCCGCCGTGCCCGTTGGTGGTCTTGGCATCTTGGCCTTCGGCCTTGGCCCCATTCTCCAGGGTACCATTGGGGCCCAGGGGGTTGCGGGCATCCCTGGCTTCCGGGCTGGCCCCGTTGCTTCTGGAGGCATCTGTGGCTTCCATGGCCCGTCACTTGGCTGGTGTGTTTGGGACTTGCTGGGGCTGCAGGTGGGTGACCTCTCGGGCTGGCGTCTGCGCGGGGAGTGGGTCAGGTAGCCAGAACCCAGAGACACACCTATAGGGAACAGGGGGGAGGAGGTGGAGGAGGAGGGGGCGGAGGAGGGGGCGGAGGAGGAGGAGGGGAGAGGAGGAACAACCAGCCCAAGCCTGACGCAACGGGCCTGGAGAGCCGGCGGCTGGCTCCCGGAGCCAGCAGAGCGCCTCATTACACAGGGGGCCACGCCCTGCACATTCATACCTCACCCGATTTCTAAAGGACGTGGGGTTTTGTTTCTCCCCTGGTTTAATTATTTTCCACAGCTCAGCAACCAGTCTGCCTGCTCCTTTCTGACGCACCTTCTTCTCCCGAGGAAGCGGGGGACCTCTGTCCTCCTAGGTGGGCAGGCTTTGCTGAGCCAAGGGGCCCCTGGGGCGAAAGGTGAGGTGTCTGCCGAGGTCTACGGGACAGAGGGCTATTAACTGGGTCACGCAAGCCAGATAGCCTTATAATTTGCGGGCCCGGATTTCAGAGGAGAGATTTCCCACCCTGGGACAGTGGAGTTCCTCCTCACCTTAAGGAGAAAGGTGGGTCTGGTTGGATTTGGACTGGAGGATGGGCAGTGCAGTGACCTCTGATTATTGAACCCTATTTGCCAACTTCCAGGCACTGTCCTAGGTCTGTCACCTGCAGAGGCTCCTTTCCTCCCCACCACAACCTGTTCAAGTATCCTATTTCATAAACAAGAAAACTGAAGCTCCAAGAAGCTGCCTTACTGGCCTCAGTCAAGTGCTAGGGTTGAGATTTGAACCCAAGACCTTTGAGCTGCCAAAATCCCTTCTTTAGCTAGGGTGTCAGGGAGCCGCCCGAATGTCAATGACGTCTAGAAGTCCTGCCTGGCCCAGCGGCCCTAACGAGATGCATGCGGCCCTTAGGTCATTTCTTTCTTTCTTTTTTTTTTTAAATTGGAACTTTTTTCATATTTTCTAATAGTTATTTTTTTTACTAAGTTTTTTTTTTTTTAAAGATTTTATTTATTTATTCATGAGAGACAGAGAGAGAGAGGCAGAGGGAGAAGCAGGCTCCCCGCCTAGCAGGGAGCCCGACGCGGGACTCGATCCCAGGACCCCGGGATCATGACCTGAGCCGAAGGCAGACGCTTAACCATCTGAGCCACCCAGGCGCCCTTTACTAAGTTTTTTATTTTAATTCCAGTTAGTTAACATCCAGTGTGATATTAGTTTCAGGTATAGAATTTAGTGATTTGACGCTTCCGTAACAACACCCGGCGCTCCTCACAACAAGTGCCCTCCTTTCCTCATCCCCCTTCTTCCCCCCTTCCCGCCCCCCCCCAACTCCCGTTTTAGGAACCAGCAGTTCGTTCTCTGTAGCTAAGAGTCTGTTTCTTGGTTTCTCTCTCCTTTTTTTGTTGTTTATCCTTCTCTGCTCTGTTTTGTTTCCTAAATTCCACATAGGAGTGAAATCACATGGCATTTGTCGGCCCTTATGTTACTGCCATCAGAGCAGGTCAGAACCTGTTTGGACCGAAAGGACAGAGCAACATTCATGAGGAGAATGCAGGCAGCAACAGGCCAGGTGGCTGAGGCCCCAGGGCCCAAACACTTCACTCTCCTCTGTCTCCACAGCAGTTTTGCTGTGTGACTCAGAAAACCCGCCTGCCCTCCCTGGGCCAGGCCACAGGCAATACCCTCCAACAAGCAGCTGGTGAAGTGTAGCACTCGGTCAATCTCAGAAGTGAGCTGTTGGACTATGACATCATATAAATACAGACCTCAGGGAGCAAAGTGAGAAAAACTGCTCCCTCCGCTTTCTCTCTCTGACCACCCGCAGGAATACTGAACCCTCGGCTCTTGCCAAGACATGCCACCTCGTCACCTCTGGCGACAACCCACTGCCTTGCTCCTGGGCAGCCAGCACCCCCATCGAGGAAAGGGCTGGATGGGGCCCAGCTGCGGTGGCAGGCTCTGGGCTGTGTGGAGGGGAGTCGGTTTCCCGGTCCTCCCCTACCGTCCGGGTCGAGTTCTGGGAGCCCTGCCTCTTTGGCTCACTAGGCTGAACTCGCTAATCCTTTGCAATAACAGCCTCTGGGAACAGGAGCAGAGACAAGCTTTTCACAGAGCAGCCAGAGTTTTAAGAAGAGGTGTGGGATGGTGCTGGAGGGGTGGGGTTTCCTCTTACTTGAGGACTCTCTCCCCAGGCCCCACCAAGCCCCCTCTTGTTTGTACTCACTGGTTAAGTTGGCAGCAAAGGAACGTTTTTGTTCTAAAGGCCTTGAAAGAAAGGGATCCCATGAGCAACCTCGGTCACTCATGCCTCATCTTCTCCTGTTCACCCTCCAACCTCGCTTAAAGCCCTCCTGCTGCAACGCCTCTCGCTATGCCAGGTGCGGGTGGACTTTGGCTACGGCCCCTACCCTAGCCCTTGCAGGTTTAGGAGGTGAGAAGAGCGGGCAGGTGGGGCCTTCAGGGAAGTGTCCTTATGGAGCTGGGATGAAGTCAGCTCCTTCAGACGAGGCAGGCCCAGCCAGCCCCCAAGGAGTCCCTTTCTCCCACGCCCACCTACCTGCCCACCCCAAACTTCCTCCCAGGCTTCTTTCATGAGGCATCTCAAAGCTGTTCCCCTCCTAGAAGACTCCCCTGATTCAGCAGGTGGCACGGCCTCAGCCACCCATAGCTGTGGCCTGGTAAGCCCTGACTCCATCACCAGTCACCTCCAGATGAAAGAAGAAACCCCTTACAAGGAGGAAACTCCTCTGGCTTCCTTGGGATCCCAGGGTTGGGCGGCAGCTGCTGCCTCTGAACAAGGCTGTATCTAGAAACGTCCTCTAAAGGACTCGAAAGGGAAGAGACTTCACCACCTCCTTCAGCCATCCACATCAAGCTGGAGGACTGTTCACTGCCAGAAGTTCTTCTTTGAGTCTAACTTAAATATTCTATAAGGAAGGGAGTTAGCAATGAGGAACTGACCCTCCAGCCCAACGAAGGGCGAGATAGGGGACAACTGTATCCAGGAGGGGACAGATCTAGTCCAGTCTGAGTGCTTTTATGGTTCTTTTGACTTCCTGGCCTCTCTGTCCTAGAGTACCCTTAGTTGTAGACAGCAGCAAGAAGGCTGTGGTGATTCAAAACTTTATAGCAGTAAGAAAACTTCGGAAGTCTCATTTTCTCATTCTGCTATCTTCATAGTGTGGAGTTTATCCTGAAATCGGGAGGGTGGACTGTATATTAAGAATTCTCTAGATTGGGTGGGACTATTCCTGCCTTCAAATTATCTTCTTAGATGAACTTTAAAAACAGGACTGATTTCTACCTGCCTAGATTGTTCCAGGCCTCCACCTGCGGGGGAGGGAGCAAGGGAAGGGGAAGGGCCAGAGACCTATGCACATTTTCAGTGAGCCATGGTCCCAGCCTGGGGTGCAGAAGAAATGAGACACTGTCCCCGCCTTCAAGGGCCCTTTGGCCTACTGGATCCTCAGGATTCAAGCAATAGTCTTCTTACACTTCCTCCTACTCCAAGAGCCCCTCCTTTGCTCCTTCCAGGCCTTTCACCCCCTGAAAAGACACTGGGTCTTAACTGTAACTCTCAAGTTAGCAGAAGCAAGGAGGGGCCTCACCAGGGGCAAGCGGTCAGGTCTGGGTCTGGTGGCATAACCCTGACCGAGGACACCTTCAAGATGAGGAGCTCCACAGAGGGATCCGCCATCCCCATGTCCTCTGGCTTGGCACCTACCCAACACTTGCCTAGGACTCTGGGAAAAGGCCCATTGGATCAGATGGACTTCTCACCGTGGCTCCCCATCAACACCCATAAAGGAGGGGTGTGATCATTAGCTTTATGCGTCAACTTGGCAAAGCTGTAATACCTAGTTATTTAATCAAACACTAATCCAGGTGATGCAGTGGAGGGATTTTGTAGATGTGGTTAATACCTATAGTCAGTTGACTTTAAGTGACGATTATCCTCTATAAAGTGGTTGGATCTCATTGAATCAGTTGACAGGACTTAAGAGTAAAAACTGAGGTTTCCTAGAGGAGAAGAAATTCTGCCTCAAAACTATATCAGCAGCTCTGGCCTGAGTCTCCAACCTGCCAGTCTGCCCTCTGGATTTTGGACTTACCAGCTCCCACGATTACATGAGCCAATTCCTTGAAGTAAATCTCTTCATATAAATATATATCCTGTAGGTTCTGTTTCTCCATGAAATCCTGGCTGAGTCCTGCCACAGCCCCGCTCTGGTCACCTGGGGGATTGGAGAGGCTTCTCATGAGAAGGGGCCCTCCATCAGGGCCCTCAGACGTCGGCTTTCTGTGGGTACAGCTGGGTTGGGGTGAGAGTAGCATGCAGGGTAGGGGGTGCAGGGTTGGGGTGAAGGAGCCCTGGGACTCTCTTGGTGTGTGAATTTGGGCAAGTTACTTAATCTCTTGGAGTCAATTTCCTGGCCTACAAAATGAGGCTAATCACAGCTCCTTGGAAGGACTGCAGAGGGATTAAGGAGGTAACAGTTGTGAACATGCCAGGCTGGTGCACAGCTCACAAGAACTGCTCGACAGGGTTCTGTTTAAGGAAACACGAGCAGGGCTTTCCTCTGCTGGAGGAGGAGCTGTCTAGGGGACACTGGTCTTCCTTCCCCACTCCCCCCAGCCTGGGTGGGGCGAGGCCTTTAACCCTCTGTGCCTGGCTCTCCCCCGTGCATCTCCCAGGTACCTTCCAGCTCTGAAATTCTATGATTATAGGGTTGCATCCCACAGAGAAGGGCAGTGAAAATAATTAAAGACTTGGAAAACGCAACCGGAGAGGAAAGGGTGAATGAAGGCACTGGTATTATTTAGCCTGGAGACGGGTGGCTTAATAACACCCTTCTTAACCAGGGAGGGTTATTTGGATGTAGGCGCTGGCTGGCCAACTTCTCTCCCCTTCTCCAGAGGGCAAACAACAGCGAGCAGAC